TTTTTTTTAATATTTATTTTTCAGTATTTGGCGGACACAGCATCTTTGTCTGTATGTGGTGCTGAGGATCGAACCCAGGCCGCACGCATGCCAGGCTAGCGCGCTACCACTTGAGCCACATCCCCAGCCCTAGACTCATTTTTTAAATTAAAAACAACAACAACAAAAGACTTCTCAACAATTCAGGGAAGAAAGAAGAACTATACAAACTGAGATATGAAAGACCTCCTGATTGCACCCTCTTACCTTCCATGTGGGTATTTATACACCCACAAACCTAATGGATTTTTCATCTTAATTTTGTGTTTTTAAGTCCCTCTGCCTAGGCCTATCCTTCATCCCTTGTTTCGAGTCTGACAGTTATCAGTCAAGACTTGGCTTATATTTCACCTTTTTAGAGGACTCTTCTCTGACTACCTAACCTAAATTAGGTGTCATGTGTCTCCTGCCCCTCCATCTCACCCCCACACAGCTCAGGGTTTTTTAGCCACGATCCTATTGACATCATTTGGGGGCTGGATAATTCTTTGCTGCGGGTGCTGTCCTGTGAACAAGATCACTGGCCTCTAGCCAGTATGTACTAGTAGCATCTTCCCCCCAAATTAGGACAAACACCTATCTCCAGACATTGCCAGGTATCCCCTGAGGGTTTAGAAATGTGACAAGAGCCGTCATCCTTTGTTGGAGACCATAAAGCTAGCTCACCTCTTTCTTTAGTTCTTCAATTAAACTACAGTTTTTAATCACTTCATTTATGTATTAAGTTTTTCCCTCTGAACCCTCACTAAAGTACATGATCATTATTAAAACTTTATGCACTTAGCATATTGCCTAAAATACGATAGGTACCCAATAAATATTTATTTAACAAATAATGCATGACAATGAGACTATAAACATCAAGAAGAACAGAATTATTTATTGTTTAGAACATGCCAAGCAATGTGAAAATACTTTCCTTGTTTTACCATATTTATTCCTGAAAACATTCCTCAAAAGTACTTCTTCTTTTTCTTATTTTGTTTTGTGACTCACCAGGGCCTGGTGCATGCTAGGCAAGCATTCTACCACTTGTCCTATACCTCAGCCCTACTCCTTATTATCTCCATCTTACAGATAAAGAAGTTGAAGTCTAGAAGAGTTAGTTTGTCCTGCCAGCATGACCCCTTGGGTCAATGAGCTAAAAAATAATGACATTCTAAGATTTACTTTTTCATTTATTTAACAATTTTCTCAGCAGTGAGCCCTTAACAGTTTTCAACTTGTAGGCAATTATATGTAAAATATACAACAATTAACAGACTATAGGCAGCAACCAATTGGAAGGGGCCTCTGATTGTGTACCAGAACACACTGATATGAATTAACATCTCAGCATATTGTCAACTTGTATGCAAATCTCTTGAGACTTGTGGGAGCAAATATTTTTAGGAGTCTCCAGGGGGTGGAATAGCTGAGTCAAAAGGTGT